AAAAAGGAATACAGCAAATATTAAGAAATATATCAGAAGTTACATATCAATGTTAGAATTCAAATGTTCCATTCTCATTATTTACTTTTCCAATTAATAAAAATACACAGGCAGGACTCTATTATAAAAAAACATGGACTGATTGGCTTCCTTTTTTCCTTCTATTGAATTTGTCAGTTGTTTGCATGTCTAGGTAACTTAGGGGTTGTGTTCTTGCACTTTCATTTGTGCACTTTTCACCTAAATGATGCTCTCTACCAAAGCTCCCATGCTAATGCCCCATTCCCTTCCATTTCTAACACCTCTTCCCTGTCCCCCCACCCCTGTTCACTCTGGTAACCAGTAATTTTTTAATAAGTCTAAGATTTGTTTTTGCCAGTATGTTTTTTTATTATTTATATTTTACAGGTAAGTGAAACCATCTGACATCTGTCTTTCACTTTCTGACTTATTTCATTTAGCATAATAACCTCAAGATCTACCTCTTTTGTTTCACAGGACACTGTTGCATCATTTTTAACAACTGAGTAGTAGTCCATTAAATATGTTTGCATAATTTATTTATAAAATTATTGTCAATGGGCACATAGCTTGGTTCCATTGTTTTTAGTGCTGCTATGAACATAGGGGTGCATGAGTTTTTTCAGATTAGATTTTTCTTATTTTTTAGATAACTACTAAGCAGAAATACTGTTGGAGCATATGGAATTCCATTTTTATATTTGAAAGATGCCTCCACACCTTTTTCCATAGAGCCAAGATAAACTTCCCTTCCCACCAACAGTGTATAAGGTTTCATTTTCTCCGGCACTTTCCCAATATTTGTTTCCATTCTTTTTCATACCAGCCATTCTCACAAGGATGAAGTGATATTTTGGAGTTCTCCAAGTTTATTGAGATAAATTGACACACAGCATCATGCAAGTTTAAAGTTTAAGATATGATGATTTGATGCATTAATATTTGCAGAATATCTAGTTTAGTTACTACATGTGTTACCTCATGTAATCAATTACCACCTTCTTGTCACATGTGTTAATCTTACAGCAACTTGAAAGTATACAATATAGTATTAACTGTAGCCACCACATTACATACCCTAAACTTACTCATTTTATAACTATAAGTTTGTATCCTATGACCAACATCTCCCCATTTCTCTACTCCTCAGCCCTGGCAACCACTGTTCTATTCTTTTTATATTAGTATAAAATCTTTGAGCCATACAGGATATGTCGCTCTCCACTAATCATTATGCCTTCAAGATCCATCAAGTTGTTGCATGACAGAAATTTTTCTCCTTTTATTTCAGTAAATAATATTCCATGATGTACACTTATTTGTTTATATACATGTGTAGATATAGCTATATAAAGATAAATAAAAGTATAGACTAATAGATATCATGTGTCTGTCTGAATGAAAATAATGGTAACACATAAAAAAAGAAACATTAGAGGGTTCTCCCTGGTGGTACAATATGTTAAAGCACAGCCCTAAGAAGCTAAAGCCATTTCAGCATTAATTCAATCCCCACCCAGGATCCACATGGTGCAGCAGACCTCTCCTGACCCACCCAATGCTCCCCTCAGCAGTGTGCTTTGTTGATCTGCCTGTTGTGCTCCCCACTCTGTCGCTGGTGAATCCTCTCACCACCCTTGCACCTCTGGCCTGTACCTCAGCTCTGTACACATATATAAATAAATCTTAAAAAAAAATAGTAAGATAAAATAGCCAGAAAACAAAATATATAGCAACAACCTTAATGCCCATTGAGTATGTTTGAATACTGAAGCCGTTGTATATATATATATATATATATATATATATATATATATATATATATATATATATATATATATATATACACACACACACAATGCAATACTACTCAGCTTTTAAAAAGATGAGATCTTGCCTTTTGCAAAACACAGAACTTGAGGTGATTTGCTAAGTAAAATAAGTCAAAAATAAAAAAGTTATGGAAATATTTTTTTTTCTCTTATGTGGAATATTCAAAGCAAATCAACTGAAAAACATAATAAAAATAACTTTTGGACTTTATGAAAAAAATACAGCGGTTATGACGAGGGGAGGAGAAGGTAGTAGGCAAAAAGGCAGAGGCCATCAACTTGTGTATGAATGGCACTAAGACTTTGATGGTGGGTGAAGTATGGCTTACCCACACATAAAAGTTAAGAGGTACCCTTCCAAATTTCCATAATTTTGTAAATAATGGTAAACCAGTACAATTTGACTTTTAAATGGATAGATTTTACAAACCCATATGCTCTTGAAAGAATGTTTATTCTGATATTTTGGTTCTGGCACAAGCAGAAACCACCTCTGTTTCTGCTTTTCACCACATTTAACAATGAGGATCTTCAGGAAAAAAACAGCCTTCCAGGACAGTTTGAAAACTGTCATGCAAATTCCTCCTCACTGGTTTCACCTCCCAATACCCCTGCACTGACTTCTACAAAACCAAGGGATAACAATAACTATGGTCACAATTGTCTTTGCTTTCTCCCCTTCACCTTGGAAGAATTTCAATCTATCAAGACTTTAAAATTACGTAAGATTTGAGCAACATCTACTAAATGAAGTTACAACTTGAAAGAAAGTTGTATTTCTACTGAATTAGGGGAAGAAAGCATGGAGAAACAATATATTAGCAGTACAAATCTCCAATGAACATACAGGCCAGCCTTCTTTCTTGACACATATTTTAATGAGTCTCTGGCATAGAAGTTCCTAAAATTTATTCATGCCATGAGACCAATATACGTCATATAAGGAAAGCTGTGACAAGAATTACAAAGTTAGACTTGAAACATACTTGGAATTCAACTCTCCAGGTTTATTACTCAATGGATACAGGATACTATTCATAAGTCCCATCAGAGAAAAGTTTTAAAATTTATGGATAATTATTAACAGATTTTCCCCTCTGGTTCAAATATATTTTAATATATATCTTGTTTCAGCAAAGTTAAATTGGCTTCCTCTCCCATCAGAGACCATTGGTGTATCTATCAGTGAAACCTCAAGCAGGTGTTTTTTGCTTAGAAAATCCCCAGAGAAATCATTAAGCATTGTTATATATGCTTCCTGACCAACGTGGTATAATTTTTCTGAGCAATATCGGCCATGAACGGAAGGCTTGAAAACATATGGCATCAAGGTGAGTCTGAGTGATTTAGAAGAAAAATGTCCAAGAGCCAAAGAAAAATTGCAAATTTTCAATAAATAAGAGAGGCTTGAATGGGGTGAATAAGGACTGAATGATCTTGTTTTTTTAGACTTACAGAGGATGTGGGAAAAACATATGCACTGAAGGAAAAACATTTCATGATTCTGATGCAAAAAGACCAAAGACATGTTCATGTTAAAAGCAAACACAGTTCTGTGTAGTAACAGGAAACTTTGCTCTTCCCAGATGGAGGACTCTTCCTTACAAAGTGCTAAGACTGGTCTCTACCTATGAAAATGAATTAGTGTAGAAGTTGGAAGAAATTCCAGCAATGCTGTTACCTAACTTCCTCACATGACATTCATGACACATGCTGTTCTTCCTTTGCTTGAATACATCTGATGCTAACAATCATGTTGTCATTGTAGAGGTCTCTATTTACATAGATCCTAAATCTTCCCTGTAACTTTTCCAGTTCTTTGAATGTGTGGTCTTAGGGTAAGTGGGGTAATACAAAAGACAAATACTTTCACCTATTCTATGTACTTAGCCCAATTTTAAATATCTCTTTTCATTTCTTGTATATCTTTAGGATTCTTGACATCTTGAAATCATGTTTTCCATCACTCAGATGCACCTTTATTTTCAATTGCTACTAATTTGTTATCTGTGGAAAGCAAGGAGACTTAACTAAGAAAAGTTGGTTTAGAAATTCGTTTGTAGTCTCAGTCACTATTTTAAGTAAAAGATACTGTGGTGAATGTAATAGACAGGAATATTTGTATGTATAGATTTTGGGGAGGGGCCGCAGACAGTATAAAATACTGGAGAGTAAGGAAGATTAGTTATATTAAGATTGGGAAGGATCCAAGGATTGCAATTTTAAATTAAGAGATTTTTTAAGTCTTATTTTGAGTTTAGCACTGAGTAAGTTCCTAACACTTTTGAAAGAATGGAGAGAAAATGGGAAAAAAATCAAAATTAGAACTTTGAAAAGCTTTATGGAGGGGAAATTAACATGTAACTGAAGAATATGCAAAATAATTTTTGAAAATGCAATGTAATATACAATACCATACTGTGAGAAAATGAAACACTCAAATTGATAATCTAAACCAAAACATAGAGAGGAATTTTTAAAAACATAAGATAAAGAACAGTTTTCTCATAAGAAAGACCCTGGAATCTTATGACTTTAATCAAAAATCTTTCATGATAGATCCATATCTCAGAATAATGAAGAAAGATGAAAATCTAACTGCTCTTAGACCTGGAAAACTTAGATTTTTCCATATTTATACTTGTAACATATGTGTGTGACAAGTAGGGGATCATGTCATTGAATTAAACCAAGACACACATCTGATAGGACTTTTTGAAGGGAAAATAGGTGAATAGTTTGGAGAATAAGTGTTATTTACAGAAGGCCCATCATTTGGAAATTGCCTTAGGGACAAAGGGGCAAGCATTAGTAACTGGCCTGGGGTTATGAGCGAGTGCATCTAGAAGATTTACAGTATAAAACCAAGCCAGAGGGGGCCTTGTTACTTTGTAGTCCTTTGGCTAATAATTGGCTCAGAATCATTCAGTAGGAATAAAACATGCTCTGCGTACAAAAGGATGATTCTTTACACCTAAATCTGTTATCTGCATTGTGCAAAATACTGGCTACACCTAAATCTGTTATCTGCATTGTGCAAAATACTGGTTCACCTATTGTCTCGTGTTGAAAATAATCTTAAAACTTCCTGCGTATATAGGACACCTTTCTTGTTACAGACAGTAACATGCTTTGCAATTGACCATCATGCATGGAGCCAACAGCTCCAGCCTGTCCCCCAGATACTTCATCCTCAATGGGATTCCGGGGCTGGAGGCTGCACACGTCTGGATCTCCCTGCCATTCTGCCTCATGTACTTCGTCGCTGTCATGGGCAACTGTGGGCTCATCTATCTCATCATCCATGAGGAGCCCCTGCACCGGCCCATGTACTACTTCCTGGCACTGCTGTCCCTTACAGATGTTAGTGGGTGCACTTCATTTGTCCCCAATATGTTATGTATCTTTTGGTTCAGTCTCAAAGAGATTGATTTTAATGCCTGCCTTGTACAAATGTTTTTCATCCACATGTTGACGGGCATGGAGTCTGGGGTGCTCATGCTTATGGCTCTGGACCGCTATGTGGCCATTTGTTACCCTCTGCGCTACTCCACCATCCTCACCAACACTGTAATTGCCAGGGTGGGCCTTGCCACCTTTACTCGAAGTGTGTTGCTCATAACCCCATTCATGTTCTTGATCAAACGCCTTCCCTACTGCAGGGGCAACCTCATCCACCACACCTACTGTGACCATATGGCTGTGGCCAAATTATCCTGTGGCAACATCAAGATTAATGCGATCTATGGTCTCATAGTGGCCATTTTTATTGGGGGGTTTGATATGGTCTGTATCTCTATGTCTTACATCATGATTGTCCGAGCTGTAGTGAATCTGTCATCTGCAGATGCTCGACACAAAGCCTTCAGCACCTGTACATCGCATATATGTGCTATTGTCATCACCTATGTCCCAGCCTTCTTCAACTTCTTCACCCACCGTTTTGGGGGCCACACCATACCTCACCATATACACATTTTTATAGCCAACCTGTACCTGTTGTTGCCTCCTACCTTGAATCCAATAGTCTATGGAGTGAAGACCAAGCAGATCCGTGAAGGAGTCATCAAATTGTTTTATAGAGAAAAAGATATTTTGAGTGTGAGATGAATTTACAAGATAATTCTATAAGCAGTATAAAGATAAGAGAAAAAGTTTTAACAGAAAAGAATAAATGTAGAATTCAATAATCACAGGCAGGAGAAAATAGGTTAATATTCTGTTATAAAATTTATGTACCTATCATAAAATGAGACTTGTAACTTGAAAGAAAATTAAAATAGAAAATAATGCTTTAACTTTAGTTAACCCTTGTTGAGTATATGCTTAGAGTAGAATAGTTGATACCTAAATTCAAGTAAATTTTTGATGACTAGTGCAGCTTGATGTAGGCACAATGAGGGAGCAGATAGGAAGAATATTAGAGAAACTAGAGAAACCTGAGAATATTGAGTAAGGCTCAGAAAATAGTCCATAGAATGTCACTGACAAATTCTGAGGTCCTGTTACCCATACTTATGTAAAACTAGTATACCTTTAAAACATCCTTTTCTATTAATTTATTTCTGTCATTTTACTGTCTTGGCAATTATTTGGATGCCTATGAATGTATTTGTGTACATATATTTAAAACTGAAATAAATATGATTACTGGAGTTCATTATAGTCTGGGAAGTACTACTTAGAGTTCACATAAGCAGAATTTTGAAACACAGAGTCAATTCTATTTGACAGCTATTTGAGAAAAGGCTTATAAGCAATGTTCCCTGAAGAAAGTATTCATACTTTGCCAAGCAGGGATATCTGAGTTTTATTATAAGGAAAAAATTGTTGAATAATCAAAGACTGAATGAAAAGGAAAAAAGAATATGAGCATAAGCTGAGGGGAAATTGAAGTAGTAAAAGATCAGGAGATTGATACAAATGATAAGTAGATTGGATATTGTTGTATTGATTAAGAGTATATTCTTATATAATAATATGAAAAGTATATTGGAATATTATGTTATATATATTCAAATGATTGTGACATGTATTTTTACAAAATAGTTTTCACATATTTGGAAGCAAAACTTGAATTTAAAAAATACTAATATAGGCCCTCCCTGGTGGCGCAGCGGGT